TATTTCTGCCATTGAAATTGCACTCGGAAGCTTTGACAAAATTGACGTCCAGTGTGGATTTACGTTCAATTCTCAACTTTTTAAGGTGAACAAGGTAGATGTGGAGGCTTTTTTTATCAAGCCTTTCGATGGTGACGACCAATTCATTGTAAAAGTCTTCGACCCCATCAAAGCGAAAAGAGATCATAAGCATTATAGGGCTGAACGACCAGATAGCTTCAACATATGTCGCAAGGCATATCTGTGCGAGAAACTGGCATATGAGATTTTATTAAATGATGGGTTGTTCAATAATGTTTATGTTGACCAAAAATGTGTATTTGGTAAATTCAATATAGGTGAACATTATCATGCGCTAGGGCCATTTATCATATTAAAATATATAGAGCCCGAAGCAGGAAAATATATAGATTCCGAAACAGGAGAATATAATCGATTGCCCAAAGATAGAAGAACATATGAGAAAGCCGAAGAGCAATTGAAAATCATTCACAGGTGTGGCATAATTCATGGGGATATTTGTGAACGGAATATTCTATACTCACAAGGCAAGGTTTATTTTATTGATTTTGGGTATTCAGATTATAATATTGTTGAGAGAGACTCCAGACCAGTAACTGCTGATNCAAAGAGTACGAATAATGAACACAGAAAATTATGCAGAGTGTTTAATCAGGAAATTNCACAGCAATACGAAGATTCTAATAAATAAGAATTTAGCATGAATAATTAAAAAGCAGATCAAGTCGTATAATTCTGCATGTACCCTAAAACATCGTCAGTATTACTATCTACATATTCTAAAGCTATGTACACCATTTCTTTCCATTACATTTTTCAGGTTATTGCAGTATGATATTCGTTATTGTATTTCGCCAACTTATATATTATACTTCATAAATTCATCATATCAAACAATTATGTTACCTTTTCATCCCTACAAAATTTATATCCACTTGCCTCTATGCGATTTTATACTCATTATCTTGATGAATCTTTTATTATGATGTTTGCACTCTAAGAACTCCACGCAAAATTGCAATTATTCCCTAGACGAAACGTGAAATAAATATTTCTTTTATGCTTACTTTGTTTGGTTTCCTATAAATTGCAGATGGACGGATATAATTTGAAATATATTTAAATTAATCGAAATGAATGACGATACTTTTGCTAAGAATATCAGACGGTATATTTTAAGAGGTGGTGANGATGCTGATATCGATGTTGATGTTGATACTGATATGGATAAGGATGCTGATATTGATACAATTGAGATTACCAAATTAGACTATAGAACCATTTTTGACAGGAGCACAGTTGCAAATCTGAACCATGTAAGCTTGATGCGCAAGTTTTTTGAGGTTAAGAAGCATTTAAAAATTAGCCAGCAAATAACTCAAATATTATACAATATGAAGATAAATGGAAAGAACTATCCATCTTCTTCTGTGTAATGCCTTTTACTAAATACGAATTTCATAGTGATGATGGAAATTTACTAAATCCTGTATTCTTCGTGCTATTGGTCCCAGTCATGATACAGACAATGTCTTAATTGAAACTTTTCTGAAATTGAATTTGAATGATTCAACGAAAAAATTTCAGAAGGTGGATTGGCATTTAATTTGCAAAATATGTTGAAAAGATATATTCTCAAATACTTTTACTGAAGACCAGAGGGATGATATAATAACTAAATTGCTTGGCGTTTGCTTTAAAGAAGATTATATGTTTGTGACAGATGTCTCATCCACTGATGAGGATTCATACAAAAAAATGATTAAAGAATATCTATTCAACCCTATATGTGAATACGTAGTAGCACTTTTATATTTTGAGATTAATGTCCGTACCAAAAATACTGCAGGTCGAACAGGAGTTAACACCAAAATACCACATCAATCTAATGATATATTTCATTCGCACCCAGACGTCGTGGCGTATGATAAATGACATCGAAGATCACTAGCTATAGTGGGGATCAAAAAGTTACCGATCTTGAAAGGTGAGAAGGTAGTAGATTTTTCAGAATCAAGAATGGTAAGTTTTATTATTCAAATTGTTGCGGAAATATTTTCTGATCACACAAACAAAGCCATGTTGACCGACTCATGTACCACTATCTTGATCGAAATAGATATAGAACGAAGCTTGGAAATAGTCAATCAAATTACAGGCTCTGAAAACTGCGAATTCTTAGCATTGAATTATGGAGTTCTAGATTGTCACTCATCCGGACTTACATTGAGGGGAGGACTAATTTCATTCATTTATGAGGCATTTAGTGCTAACGAATATTAATTAAATGATGTTAAGAGAGGACAAGATGAGATTTATGACTATGTTCGTAAGTCAGATGAGGAGTACTTGACATATTTTGACGATCTAGGTGAGAAAGATGATGAAATTTTCAAAAATAATTACAATGCTTTTATGCAACAGCTATATGTCATTGAGCCAAACATTGCACTTGGGGACTTCGAAAGAATCTATGTACAAAGTGGCGTTATGTTTAGTTCTCAGCTTTTCAGCGTCAAATCTAAAGACGTAAAACTGTATCTCAAAGAAGACATCGATGAAACTGATGAATTAATTGTTAAAGTATTTGACCGTACCGTACTAAGGCAAAGAGAGATCATAATAAATACGTAATAGAAAAGAAAGACATATTTGATAATTGTCGAACGGCATATTTATGTGAGAAGCGAACATATGAGGGGCTTATAAATGAGACGCAAGAATCTGTGTATAGAAGATTCTTTGTAGGAAATAATTATCACGCATTGCGACCATTTATCATATTGAAGTATTCGGCTCAAGAGATTCTACCACATGATAAAGAAACTTATGAGAAAGCTAAAGAACAATTGAATATAATCCACCTTTATAACATAATACATGGAGATATAAGCCCAAGAAGTATTTTATACTCTCATTTGAAGGTATATATTTTATTGATTTTGGATACTCAGAATACAAAGAAGATAAATTAGGTTCCAACCCAGTGACTGCTAACCAAGAGAGGATCAAGAGTGAACACATACAGTTATGTAGTATATTTGGTCAGTCAACTCCGAAGGAATATGAATAATCGAATAAAGAAAGTATGGGGTTGATAATTATATACCCGTATATATTAAGTAGGTGGTATGTGCTGCGAGATAAGTGTCGCATGGCAAACTATGTGCGGCAAACTGCCAAATGCGAATGCGAAGGCCAAGGCCAAATAACCTAATATACAATTTAGCACATGAATGTAATTATTAATTGGTGAAGCAAGTGTAATAAAATTCTTGTACTATCCTATACATTGTAGATCATTAACGCGAAAAAAAAAATTAAATAATGATACCCAAATTAATGAAGAACTATCCCTTGCGAATAATGATGCATCTGGTGCTACCGATTCAATTCAAACTGAAAACGTGGCCAATGAAATCCACCCATAGTATGATATAATAAATCCTGAATACCTTCAAATTACATCCATTATTGACTTTTCCCGTTACAGTGAAAAAATAATAGTATAATAAACTCAGGCTCAAATAAAAACGGCCGAAATGGACCAATACCAATTGACATGGGAGGATTGCCTCATCAGAATGGAAGACATACTATAAGTCTACTTGATTTAGCTGCGAATTTGCGATATTTCGGTGAATGCAGACTGGTAGCATTGTTACTAGAGCGCCGCTTTATATTTGCCAAAGTTATTGGTATTACCAAGCTCGCAGATGATCCTTTAAAAGAGCAAGTTACTGATGAATCCAATAGATAAACTGTACGACACCCTGTTCAACTAGTCAGAAGGGATCTGTGCAATATTGTGGTACAATTTTTTAAAGAAAACACTAATGACACATTAGAGTCTTGATATGAAGTATTCTAACGTTAATATTATCGACAAAATGTATGATAACCCAATATCTGCTGGATTCTTGTATATGCATGCATCATTTGGTTCTTGCAATTGGTGCTTTATATAGAAGTATCACCTAACAGACCATAATGTATAGATCCGCAGACTATTCACTACATTTGCATCTTAAAGCCTTCTAGATCACAATCGATATTCAATAAAACGAATGAATCGTAACTGTAATAGACAATCCAATTCAATACCTTTAAGACCTTTTCCATACATCAACATTCCATAAGATTTCCGAGTATGCTGAAAAGTCACGTGAATGTGACAAATTAGTAAGCTTGAAATTTTAATTTAATAATCGGAAGGTATCCAGCATAGTAATCTTTGCTGGAAACTGGTTGCTATAGTGAAACAAAATCCGATTGACTTGTTGCTAACGAGGGTTATACTGACGAAGCGATAAATACTATATTTTTTTTTGGGTGTGAGCTTCTTTTTTAGCTCCATAAACGTTAGAAAACAACCAGATCGCCTGGTTTTTGGCATTCTTTTTTATTTCACAGACTACACGAGAAAGGTGAGCTTCTAGGACCCTAGTTTGTGAATTATTGGCCCATATACACTATGGGATTATTATCGTTGGGTACCCCTTTAGACTGGCACGATGCTAATAAGTTCAATGAACATGTCAGAGAGAATGGTATAAGGCAGTTGATAAATATTTTCAAGCAACACTCTGCTTCGAGGGTACAAGATCCGTTCTTATGGGGTGAGGAAGTTGAGTATATGCTAGTCGATATCGATGCGAGGTCTAAAACTGCTAAGTTAGCTATCGATAAAGATTACATATTGAACGATTTGAACGACCCCGAAAAACCTGAATCGTATGAAAAATCGATCAAGAACAACATACTATTTCACCCAGAGTACGGTAGATATATGATCGAAGCTACTCCTTTAAAGCCATATGATGGTGATTTGCTAGACGATTATGTTTATGTTGAAGAAAATATGATAAAAAGAAGGAAAATTAGTGAATCGGAATTACCGAAGAATATTAAACCTCTTACCTTAACAAGTTTTCCAAGAATGGGGTGCGACAACTTTACTTCACCTCCTGCTAAACCAATAGGTCCAGCATCTCAATCGTTGTTTTTGCCCGATGAAATCATTAATCGTCATGTAAGATTCCCAACTTTAACAGCAAATATTAGAAAAAGAAGAGGGTGCAAGGTCGCTATCAACTTACCAATGTATCCGGATATCAACACCAAATTAATAGATGATTCTATACCAAAAAATCGTGATTTATTTGAGTCTGATAAAGAACCTTGGGTTGGTGCCTCCAAACCAGGCCATGTTTATATGGATTCGATGGGTTTCGGAATGGGGTCATCATGCTTACAAGTGACTATGCAAGCTCACGAAATTAATGAAGCAAGATACTTGTACGATACATTAGCGCCTCTCACTCCAATAATGTTAAGTTTGACAGCGGCAGCTCCAATTTTCAAGGGTTTCTTGGTAAACCAAGATGTTAGATGGAATGTTATTAGTGGAGCTGTTGACGACAGAACATTCATAGAGAGGGATGTTGAACCGTATCCGGGTTATGATTTTTTTGGAGGACTCGATGTAACAGAAGAAGACAAAAAACACATGGAAACATTAGGAGGCGGTCGTGGTGTTAATGGCGACCATATTAGTAACAAGTACGGAGATACCAGGTTAATGACCACTGACGGTAAACCAATTCAAAAAATCACTAAGTCAAGATATGAATCGATCAATAGTTATTTGAGCGACTACAAATATTCGGGTAAAACAGATGTGTATTTCAAAGATAAATACAACGATGCTTATATGCCTATGAATACAAAGGTTTATGAACAATTGATGGACTCTAACTTATTTGATCCAATAATGGCACAACATTTTGCATATTTATTTATACGTGATCCATTAGTTATATTCTCTGAGAGGATTGATCAAGATAATGAGCTAGAGAATGATCACTTTGAGAACCTTCAATCTACCAATTGGCAAACCTTGAGATTTAAACCACCAGCATTGTATCCAAAAGATATTACGCTGCAAGAGTTAGCTGCTAAACCAGGGTGGAGGGTAGAATTCCGTCCTATGGAAATTCAACTAACCGATTTCGAAAATGCAGCATACTCAGTTTTTATTGCATTACTATCTAAAGCTATATTAAAGTTCAAACCAGATTTCTATATACCAATTCTGCATGTTGATGAGAATATGGAAACAGCGCATAAGGTAGATTCTGTTCTCAGGGATAAATTTTGGTTCAAGGCATCATGTAAGTGGGGACTCAACAACGATGAATTCATTGGTTACGACTTAAGCTGGTTCGATAGATTTATTAATAGAGGTAACGACGAGCTAGGGGTCGACGAAGTCTACGTAAATGGGTACGCGAGTCATGCTAAAGATAACGTCATTAATGGCAATAACCAGGTAGATACGTCTTGTGACTACAACGAGTCCAAGTACACCATCGACGAAATCATCAATGGTGGCGAAGACTTCCCCGGTATGATCAAGTTGATCATCAGACTAATTGCTACCGAATTGCTCCCGGAATCGTCGCAACATCACTGCCAAACGTCGCAGCTTGCAAATAGAATGTTGAAGCTCCAAAACTACTTGCGATTGATATCGTACAGAGCTTCGGGCAAAATCCCCACAATTGCCCACTGGCTTAGACACAAGGCCCTTAGCAACCCATTGTATAAACAAGACTCCAAGATAAGTGAAGAATTGGCTTACGAATTAATTAGAGACGCAACCATTCTTTCGGATTTGGACTTCTCCAACCGTGATTTATTTACCAGCTACTTCGGGACTTCAATCTCTAATTTTTTGAGAAACAACTCTAATCCCGCCTAGTTACAATTTTGCCATATTCCCTTTTTGTTTCTTATACTTCCTTAATTAGATATTTTGCATTTATATGTAGTTATTGAACACTAGCATATGTGCGAGCAACATGTACAGTATTACAGCAATAGTGACGGATTATATATTCTACTCCATAGTTCAAAAACAAAAAATTAAGAACTAGACACATAATATAGTATAAAACATGGCCAACAGACTTTGGCCTATATCATGCCTAAAATGACAGAGATATGCTGATTATCAATTCAGCATTGGATAATTTTCAATTTTTCAATACAAAATTTGTCTGTACTATTTTTTTAATCCCTTAATTTTTTTACCAACATTTATTGCAAAATTTGCATAAACGTTGAAGAGATAATCTATACCTTAGTCTAGTTCGACTCAGTCTAACTCTAACCAAGTCAGTCTATCCTAGCCTGGTGAAGATAAAGATTCAAATCTCCTGCATATAGAAGATCGCAAATTTCACAAACGACACGCTTACTTTTTGTTCACAAGTAAAATAAACAATGACTACGTGAATAAAACACTATAAACTTGAGTCTATAGAGCAAGAACGATAGAAAATATGGGTATTATCGATAATTTTAAATCATTTGTGCACTCTATCACTACAGAGGATCATTATGCGTCTTATGATTCGCCATACAAAAATTCAGCAGTTAATAATGTTGGAACTACAGTTGGAGGCGGCAATTCGAGTTCAAGATTGCACGAGTTGAACCGTTTGGCCACAGCTAATTCGTCGAGTCATTCGCTTATTGAAGGAGGTAATAATGGTAGCAGAACTTCGTTGTCGCGTAACGGGTCATCGACTACTGTTGGTTACAGACCAGGATTGAGATCATCGAACACGAATTCGTCGGAGCTTCAACTTCAAAATTTGAATGCTAGTGGGCAACCACCGTTGCCATCAATCGACTCATTGTGGGACCGTATTGAGAGCTGGTTAGAGGAAGAATACCCCGAATTGGGAGACAATTTGAATGACGGAGTTACCACTGCGGATTTGAATGAGTTTGAGAACGACTTGGGATGTGGATCGTTGCCGGTAGAAATAAGGCAATTTTATAAGAGGCACGACGGACAGTTCAGAGGCGGAAAGCCTACTGGGTTGGTAATGGGCTTGACGTTGTTAGATTTAGAAGGTATAATAGAAGAATATGCTATTTGGGCTAAGGTTAACCAAAGATTGGAAAAACAACAATATATGTTCCAACACCAACAGCAACAGCAACAGAACCAGAAGGCCACGTCGTCGACCAATGCTTCTGAAGCACAGGGTAATCAAAACAAGATCAACAACTCGTTTATTGCCAATCAAAAATCGATTCCACCAAATGCCATTCAACCATATTACGCGCACCGTGGTTGGATTCCATTTTTGAAGGATTTCTGTGGTAACCAGATTGCTATTGACTTAGCGCCAGGTCCACAAGGTCACTGGGGTCAAATTATAATTTTTGGTCGAGATTATGATACAAAGTTGGTTATTGCATCGAATTTACAAGAGTTCATTTTTGGATTTGTTTCAGACTTGGAGTTAGGAAACTTTCAGATTGATCAAAATGATCAAGATGACGGCTTTTTGGATGGCTCCAGAAACGACGATGATTACATGATCGGTGATGGTGAAGAAGATCAGGGTGAGTTATGTTTCCGTGATAGAGAGAAGAAAGAATTTGGTAACTCTATAAAGGGCAGGTTTACATATTTAGAGGTGTTAAAGAGAAGAGCTTTGAAAAAGTTTGGTATAAGTAATCTCGAAAAGTTCTCGACTTCTTTCACCCCTCAGAGAATGCCTCATTCCAAACCGAATGCCAGTGGTGCCTCATCTCCAGTTAGAGCGGCCAGTCCTAGTATGTCTGGTACAACTGCCAATACGAATAAGTCCCAGAACCCTTTGATCAATATGGAAAGTAGTAGTAAGGTTGCTTTACCAAAGGAGACTCTTATTGACGAAGACGAAAAGGTTCCAGAAGAACCAGTTAAGAAGTCTGGAGTGGAAAAGGTAAAGGACGCCGCTGCTGCGGAACCAGAAAAAGAAACAAAACAAAATGATGAAATCATAGAAGAAAAACCCGTAGAAACCCCAGCCAAGGAAGATGACAAGGAAGAAGAAAAAGAACAAGAAAATGAAGATGACAACGAAGAGGCCGCAACCCCTGAAGATGAACAAAATAAGGATGCAAAACCTTTAACCAAAACCCAAAAAAAGAATCAAAACAAGAAGGCTAAAAAGCAACAGCAGAAACAAAAGCAAAATGAGGCGAACGATGTAGAAGAAGTAGCTGAAGATTTGAATGATGTTGCGTTATAATACCCCGTCTGATTTGTTTGATTTTTATTATTTGTTTTATATTCGATTTCTTGGGCCCGTTTAGCTTGTTTTATTGCATCGTAAGATGATTTCTTGTTATTATGATTATGATTACATACAGCGTATTTGAATTTTATTATATAGTGAACATAAATTAAGATATAGTTTCAAAAACGAAAACCTATTTATTATGATTGGTGATTTTGTGTAACACATAGTTTTTATTTGTAAACAGATCAACTCGTACTATCATAAGTAAGCTGCTAAAGACAAGGATTTATTGATACATGACTATCCTTAATACTACACATATGAAATGAGATCAGTCAGTACTTGGGACCAGTCAAGTGGAAATAATGAATACCATGCGAATGAATTGAATAATCAGACAGAACCGATCTATAATTCATCTGTAAATGCAGTAGCTTCACTGCTGCATCAACTAGAAACACAAGAAATTATACCACCAGAAGAGCTAATAGATTCAATAGCTTCTGTTTCAACTTCAGAAAATAATAACTATATTGAAGAGGGAATATATCAACAGGAAGATGAAGATGGAGACGAAATGTGCACGGGCGGAGATTCATTTTCTGGTGCAGATCAGCCCACATTAGAGCAAATACAAAGGGTATACTATACAAAAGGGTTGCAAATGCTAGATAGTTTGCAGCTTCTTGATCTATCGCCGTTAGCTAATTGGAAGCTATCATCGTCCAAACAAGAATTTAGTTTAAGTCAGTTGCGGGACGATTCATCTGATAGTTATTGGCAATCTGATGGGAGTAATGGAAGCAATAATATAAACGCTACAAATGGGAACGCCATAACAAACAATCAGCTTGCAAATCCACATTCGATCACTATACAATTTTCGAAAAAAGTATCGTTGGAAAGAATATCAATATTTACAAATTTCTCAGCCGATGAATCGTATACACCTTCCAAGATTAGAATACTAGCAGGAACGTCCGACGACTGGGATTTGAGTGAGGTTTGCACTGTTAATTTCAATAAACCTATTGGCTGGTCACATATTATCTTTAATGCCATAAGGAATGATGGAGTACTAAAATGTTTTACCGTCAAACTCGTAATCCTCGCAAACCATCAAGATGGTAAAGATACACGTATAAGAGCAGTTAGATGTTTCGGTAAAAAATCTACGGGGGTCAAGCCTCCGACAAAGGATGTTGCTCCTCCTAGCTTAGTAGGTGACATATTAAAAGATCTCAATCTTACTAGTGGATTTAGCAATGCTTCTGGATTACTGTTAAATAATCAAATAGTCCAAAATTTAAGTGATAATCCAATATCATTTACACATAAGAGTTCAATTGATTTAATTGATGATGGGGATGATGACATCATTGATGATGATTCGGATAGAGAGACCAACAAGATTTTGAACAATGTATCTAACGTTATAGGGTTCAATTCAGGGTTTCAGAGTGTGGAGTTATCTAGTATTTCATCAATTCGCTGAGCCAATAAGTCGATTTATCTATATATATAATTAATCACTATTTATTTTCAACGAAAAATCAACAATTCCACATCCTTGATGGATTGAGGAAGTTGAATAGATGTCAATATCATTACACAAGTAACGGCTTAAATTGGAAAGAGTCAAACCACCGGAACATTCCAATAAGAATGACTTCAGCTTGCCTTCGTAGAACTTCTTCAAGCTTTGAGCAGCTTTTTGCAACTCAGGACCTTCGAAGTTGTCTAACATGATAACGTCAGCACCTGCATCAATAGCTTCACGAGCATCTTCTTCAGTACTTACTTCAACCTCAACTTTAACTGCAAACCCACAAACTGATCTCGCACTTTTAACAGCTTTAGTAATACTCCCAGTAGAGGTTATGTGGTTATCTTTCAACATTACCATAGAGCTTAAGTCGTATCTATGGGTATCAACACCACCAATCAACATTGAATACTTTTCAAGTTGTCTGAGACCCGGAGTAGTCTTCCTAGTACCAGCAATAAGACCCGTGTAACCACTTTCATCGGCTAACTTCTTGGTTAAACGAGATTGTGTAGCTATCCCAGAAGATCTCGCTAACAAATTTAAAGCAGTTCTTTCTGCCAACAAAATCTTGTTGGCCGGGCCCTTTACTACGGCAACAACGATCTTTCCCTTATTCTTTTGAATCACTTCCTCAGTGATGAATTCGCCTTCCTTATGAAGCCATTCAACTTCCAATTCACATTGCTTAAAGACTTCTGCAGTGAATGGTACTCCAGAGATCAACCCTGCTTGTTTCATGTATAAAGAAGCCGTTTCTTGTTTGTTCCCGACTACAAATGCACCAAAATCAAAAGATGGTACATCTTCTTGCAAGTAATCGGTAATTAATTGTTTCCATTTGCCATTGGAAGGGAGTAAGTTAGCATAAGATGAGGACATTTTCAGTTATATGAGATATTTTCTAACGTTTTATAGCTTGGATCCAAATGCTAATTTAATTTTTCGAATTTTTCAGAATCTGTGGAGCGCATGGAGACAGAATCTGAAATAATTTACGAACTTATATACCCTTTTTATGACCATTCATTAGATTCATAGGCTCGGAATTTTTTATGAAAAGAGATATAACTCAGCTATTATCACCAGAGTTGTCTCAACTGTCTTCTAGAAATGAGAAAAAACGTAAGGCAACGAATCTGAATAAAAAGGTTCAGACAGTGTTAAATTTCCCATCATCATCACCAAATGCGTCTCAATCAACTACATGTGCAACATGTGGCATGACATACTATAGTCATGTGTCAAAGGATAATGATGTTCATAATAAATACCATTTTAACTTCATCAATGGTATTCCATGGCCTACATCATTTTGTAACAATGTGCTCGAGAGATTTATTGTAGTGGATAATACGACTGGTAAGGCCAAAGGGACTTCAAAATCGAAGAAATCGCAAGCTGCATCTAAAGAGACGTTGGTTATGGCTATTGACAGAAAATCTAGTAAGCAAGTGAAGCGAGTGGAGGAAATATTGAAAGTAGTCAATGGAGAGCTAAATGCAGCATCGGATGGTAAGGCATGGCAAAAAGACCATAAAGGTTCAATTCAAGGAAAGGCATTTATTGTGGTAATGGATGGTCGGGCTATTGGGATATGTACAACAGAACCAATTCAAAATGTCGATCAACAGTGCCGGTGGATAATCCATAGAACTCAAGCGGTAGTGCCGAACCAGGTGAATAGGCTGATTAAGTTGGGAATTTCACGTATATGGATAGCACCTAAATGGAGACGATATGGCTTAGCAAGGAGGCTACTTGATATTGTTTTGGTTCATTCTGTATATGGAATTGTGCTTGATAAAAAAGAAGTCGGGTTTAGCCAGCCTAGCTTTAGTGGCGGACTACTAGCCAAAAGCTTCAATGGGGTTACACATAAGAGCGGTGAAATCCTAATACCTGTATACTTAGAAGAATAAATAGTCATGTATTATGATATATTTTTGTTTAATTTCGAGTCTATAGAAAACTGTCAATATTAATCATTCAGCAAAAACAGTCTGCCCTCCAGCAACACCGACGATTTGATCAACATAGTTATAAATAGATGCTGTTAAACCACCATTTACTGTAATTTTAATCCCTCTAGGTAAAGCACCTTTCCATAATGATCTATACCCTTGTTCCATAAATAGCCTGAATGCGGTTGATAAAGAATCCTTGTATATTTGTTTACCGTTTTTCAGCTGCAAATGACTCTTGACTACATCTAAAGGTTCCGTTAACGCCACGACAGCTATAGATGAGAACAAATGTAATCCAATCAGTTGGAAAGCTGTATGCTTATGGCCAAACCAACTTTGTTCATTACTATTACTGTGCGGATCAAGCAATTGTCTTGTAGCATTATATGTTGATAACCATACCGTCGAAATAGCTACTTGACGAACCATAGTAATGCAAGTACCGGACAGGAATCCCTTCAAGCCCTTAAGCGAATAGATTTCACGGATGGTTCCAAAGAATGTCATTGTAGGATGCTTATTGTATTTAGCCTTCAAAATTTCCTTAGCACTGTGATGTTTTGAAGCAACCTGGAACCTACTGGTTGGTTTATTATTCGCCCTATATTGTGATAGTATATCTGCTGTGAAATAAGCATGCGGCGAAATGTATTGTTTACTAAAGATATTTGCAGTTGGCTTATGATGCTTGTTCAACACCGTGGTCCCGGTAACATCATACTTAATTCGATGCTCTGCAGCTCTTACAATCTCATTATGTAATGTCATGTTCTGAATCATCGTAATCTTAATGTTTTCAAACGGAATTATCCACAATGTTTCAAGGAACCCACTCATAACACCTGCAATCACAATCCTCGGAGCACTAATTTTCTTATGACCATGACTATCAGAACCATCCAGGGTCATAAATTTTGTCAGCCAGTTATACAGAACTAGTCTTGCCGAATTCTTCATTACGGTACCAATAACCAAGGCGCTGCCTCCTTTGAATAGCTGAGCAATTGTACTGGGGTAATTACCTGGAATATTAAATTTCTGCATTCTCCCTGAATCATTAAGCTGCTGTTGTGTTTTAATACAATCTAATGGATATGTTAAGGTTGCGGAAATTGCAGCTGCAGTAGTTCCCGACAACAACGCCGTAAGCAAACTATCACCACTAACCGAATTTTCTTTACTCATTGATTGTTTGCTTTATTGCTGAAATATCAATTACTAGCATCTTTTTCACTACATTTACATGAAAGAGTTGGTCGCGCATAAAAACAAAAAGTTGTAATAGTAAACAAAACGCTTATCATTGATCTATTCCTAAGTACTTAACAAGAAGAATGGATGATAGTGGTCAGAGGAACAGAATACGGAGCGTAACTGAACCATCTACTCCTTTGAGACGAAGTTCTCGAATAGACCAAAGTTTTGCATTTTACTCACAGAGACAGAGGACCATATTCAGAACTAGTGATATCCATTTACCTCCACATGAGCTACCGTCAATTACCGCTAAGCTAAGCCAAGAAAGCAACTCTGCACCTGGGTCACTGAGAAGATCAAGACGTAGGTCTCGGTCCCGACCTACAACCCCACAAACAGGGAGAGATTCTATATCCGGATTATCACCAGGTACCTTGACACCTACGAGAAACACAAATAAGAGACGAAGTAGTAGTAATTTTACAATGGGTACTAAAAGAAGGAAAAGACAATCTCTCATTATGACGGAAAATGGAGGGACGGCGTTCGACCCGAATTATATTGGACCTATAACGATTGACTATTTGCGATTGTTCTGTAAAATTACGATAGAAGAAAAAACCGTGAAAGAAAACTCTAAGACTGACGTTCATGATAGCGAGCCACCAATAGTTCTACAAGAGGAAATACCAGCTAGGTCTCCCAGAATTGATGATCAAATGGAGATACGAAATATTCCGACATTTAATGATTTTGATCAATCCTTACCACTTCCAGATGTGGAAGGCATTCCAGTCTCGCCAGAGTCAAATGATTTACGACCACTCTATGATCCTGTTGAAATCGGAACACCACCGAAAAAGGCATTCTCGTACTTGGAACGTATATTGGCAGCACAGGCTAAAAGAAATCAAAATCTAGATAAGGAAACTGAACACAGCTTTCGTAAGAAAACTCCAGATGAAAGTAATATGCAAACTATAGATTCAAGTTCAATGCAAACTGAATTTATTATAGAGGATAACAGTGCCCATATTAAGAATGTTCCTGTAAGCGATTTGAATGTACGTTCGAATATTGGGCTGGATAACAATACTGGGCCTAAAGTAGAAGAAAGTTTGTTCGTTCCTGAAGAAAGTTCAGGCATTGATGAACAGACACCGTATAATGAGCAACCATTAGATAATGAACAATTGTTCGATAATGAACAACCGATAGAATATGAACAAGACAACAATGAATTTGTTGACATGAATGACGAATATAATGATATTGAGGATAAGATGAATATAAATCACTTCTCTAAACTTGAACATTTATCAGAAGCTATAGCAACACCAAAAGAGACTCTGGAATTTACTACTTTGTTTGGCCAGGAGGAATTGGAAAGACAGTCACCAACTTTTCCAAATGCAGTGGTAAATGAAGAATATATCGTTGATAATGATTTCAATAACGATTTGTTCGAGGAAGCATTTGATAGAAATAATGAACATGAAATTGATAATAGCTTGGACAATCAAGCCGAAAAGTCTACAGGAGCACCGGCAACTAGAATAACAAAAAGTAATAAGACTAAAGCAGGTCGAAGTCATTTACCATTACCTATAAATATGGTAAAAAATGTTGTCAAGTTATTGCAAGCTGCACCTACAAAAGGTAATGATACTGCTACTAGTAAACTGAGAAACACACAGAAAGTCAAGAGACTTACACCTGACATTTATGAATTTATTCAACAAAAGTCGGATGATTTCATCCTGAATATTGTAGCGAACTTGGAGGCATACTCTGGACATCGGACTAATAACAAGAGTAATCAAATCAATATCAAAGATGTTCTCCTTTATTTAAACAGAATTAAATTTAGCTCAGGCGGTGAAAATAGGATACAGGAAGTTGATAATATAACAAACTTGGCTTATAAGTTCTTACCCTTGGAGTTGCTTATTTCACTTGACAATAATTTACATGGCCGAGTGAATAGCCAGAAACCCAAGACTTATGAAGAAGAGAATCACTCGGAGAGCTTTGAAAGTGATAGTGAGTCGGATTACAATAATGAACCTGCTCTGAAAAGAGGAAATTCAGCTCAGAATATAAGACATTTAAAAACATTTAGTGATAGTGGAACTGAATAAGTTTGCGCTAGATAGATATAATTGTACTATAGATACATGTATATTAATAAATATTATTTACAAGACGAATGCTTTTATTAATAATTTACGAAAGCTCTCGTTGCATTGCAAGCTCTGCCTGGTTACCCTTCACTAATTTAAATAACTCAAATATTGCAGCTGGAGTAACCCCTTGAATACGCCTTGCTTGACCTATAGTTGTAGGTTGTATAGTATTTAACAAGTGGCAAACTTCATAAGAAATCTTCAAATTTCCTTCATTTGTATAATTGTAGTTCAAAGGTAAAAGTAAGTTCTCATCAGCTTGATACGCCCTTAAATGTGCTTCCTCTTTTTTCATCCAAGGTTCATATGTACTCTCAACATTAATGCGTCCCATCAATCTTCTGTTGAGGTGGCTATATAACTCTGGCAATTCTCCATTCGAAGAAAACTTATGCAAATGAGGTATTATATCTGAAATTGTCACATCTTTATAAGATAGTAATTTCCAACCATCCACAACTGTAGTTTTATTCACATCCAGAATACATCCTTTCAATACTGGTGCCCATTTCGCACCAGAGAATGAAAGGGATTTTAAATGTTCCTTAATAGAATCAAAATGCTTCATTTCATTCTTAAAGCAGTCATATCTACTTTCACTTACAACCCCTGCATCATAACCCTTTTGAAGTAATCTTTTATCTGCGTTGTCAGATCTAATGGAGATTCTAAACTCCGATCGTGAAGTAAACATTCTATATGGTTCTTCTACCCCTTTCGTAATTAAATCATCAACTAGTACTCCTAAGTATCCATCAGATCTATGAATATCCAAGGAAGGTTTGTTTGCATACGCCAAACCTGCATTAATACCTGCTAAACAACCCTGAGCTGCCGCCTCTTCATAACCCGTTGTACCGTTGATCTGTCCTGCAAGATAAAGTCCGTCCACCAATTTCGTTTCTAAGGTCATTTTGAGTTCTCTTGGATCAACATAATCATACTCAACACCATAACCTGGTTGTACCATTGTAACATTTTCACAACCGGGCATCATTTTGACCATTTTTTCTTGTATTTCAGCTGGCATCGTACACGATATACCATTCGGGTAAACTAAATCAGTATCCAAACCTTCAGGCTCAAGCCAGACTAAGTGAGTCGACTTCTGTGGAAACTTTATAATCTTAGATTCAATGGATGGGCAATATCGAGGACCCTTAACAGTCTCTCTGATATGTATTGACTTATCTAAATTGTCAGCAATAAGCTTATGTAACTCGGGAGTTGTTGATGTCATATGACATTTCATTAGTTGTTCTTGAAGATCTACTTCGTCGTTCAAATAGGACATTGGCTGTGGTGGATAATCAGAAAGCTGAGGAGCTAAATTCGTATAATCTATGGTTTTTGATGAAAGCCTTGGTGGGGTACCTGTTTTCAAGCGGCCTAAACGAAAGCTTGCATCACGAAATGTCTTAGACAAACCAAACGTTGCTTCTTCACCCATACGCCCTGAAGGGTGGCACGAAAGACCTATATGAATCTCACCTCCTAAGAAAGTACCTGTTGTAACAACCACCTTGGAACATTTTAATATACGGCCATCCGATAAAACAACCCCTCTCACTATCCCAAAATTTCTGCCGGAGGTGTCTATAATTTGATCTCTTGGAGGTTCGATAATAATGTCTTCGACTTGTGCTTCAACCACTTTCAAGTTTTCATAGTTCAAGATTTCTTTTTGCATTTCAGTTAAATATATCTTTCTATCAATCTGAGCACGAGGGCCATGAACGGCAGCACCTTTAGAAGCATTTAAGATTTTAAAATGAATACCTGCTTTGTCAGTAATACGAGCCGAAACACCATCTAATGCATCAATCTCTCGAAGTAAAGTTCCCTTTCCAACACCACCCATAGATGGATTACAAGAGGCTGTACCTATTTTATCTATGCTAGGAGTAACCAAAGTAGTTAAAGTCCCGGAACGTGCTGATCCTGTAGCAGCTTCACATCCAGCATGACCTCCTCCAATAACGATAACAGGATGCTCCGCTGATTCAGTTAATTTTCTTTGTAGATCAGCATTAATAATAATAGATCGAGACTGTTGGTAAATATTAACGGTTAGTATCTTCGGAACAAATCTTTGAGTTAATCGTAGTACCATATTTGTATTAGCTTGGTATACCTGCAATAACGTGTTATGGTTCTTATTTAGTAATTAATGATAGTGTTGGTCCAAATATTATACTTTAATTTTGCGTCAATTTTTATGCGATATCTCATCACTATAAAAAAAAAATATATAGGTTAAAGGTATCAATAAATAAAGAAACTAAAGCAATATGAGCAAATTAGAAAGTGTATCTACAGCAGGTGATGATTTGGATGATGGGTTAGAGTACAATGTTGAATTTTCTTCGGGGGAAGAAATCAATCCGGATTCAGAACTTGAAGATGATAATGATGCATCAGATGAAGAATCAAATAAGGCCAAAACTGAATCTGAAGGAAATAACGGTAAGAAGAGAAAAGCAAAGACATCCAAGTTGCAAGAAAAAAAGAAGGTGAAGATGGAGATGGACATTGCACAGAAGAAAAACTTATCAAAAGAGTCCTCTACGGACGTTATTGCAGATTTTATCAATAATAAAATAAGTCAAAAGAATCCTAACTTGTCTACTTTGGAATTATCAGAATTATACTTCAATAAAACAGATTTCAGATCAACTTCAGAGTTTGATGAAGAGAAACGTAGTTTGGACAATTTGTCCAAATTCATTCTTGGAAGGTTCAAAAATATGTTACCTTCTCATGACAAGAAAAATAAGAAGAACAAGAACAAGAAGAATAAAAAAGATGATAAAAGTCATGATAGTTCAAATAATGATAAAGACGAGGCTGAAGAAAGAAAATTTATTGCGATAGTATCAATGTCAGCTTTACGTGCTTGTGATATTCATCGTGCTACTCGTGAGATATCAGGCTCATCCCTAAAGCTCATTAATAAAAATAAACTTGATGTTGATTTGAAATTGGTCAAGACAACTAGATCGCGTATTCTCTGTTGCACTCCGGGTAGACTTTTGAAAGTTTTGAATAGTGAAGACCTGGAGTTAAATAAGGACGAAATCAAGATTATCATAGTTGACAATTCATATTTAGACCAAAAGCAGCAAAACATTTGGGATATAAAGGAAACCCCTGAAGCTCTTAGTATATTGACAAAGGAAGGTGGCTCAAAAATCTATCTTTACTAATATGTATATGTTTTTGCATGCTATACATTGTATATTATAACCTTACATAGCTCAAAGAAATAAATCTATAGATTAGGAAATCAGTAAGGGCAAATATATTCCTCTATTGGATTTGTAAAACTCAGCAATATTCTTAACAATAAGAGTCATAGAAAGCTCATCTATATCTATTTTATCTTGCATTGCCTCTTTTATTTTTTTGGCGTGCCCTTGAATTAATGAATCATTCACATCATTGACAGGTGTACCATTAGCAAATTGTAACAAGTAAACTATATTTGTAAAAACCAAGAGAAATTTCTCTTTAGTTATAACTGAACTGTCTATGTCATTCCCGACCATAGGTTCTTTCTTATTCTCTATAGGCTCCTTGTTATCATCCTTATTACCATCAGTATTACTAACCGAACCTGGTAACTCATTGATTATTCTTTTCTGTATTAAATCTTCTAAAATCCATTCTTTCTTTGCTTCAGTAAACATTTTATATACATGTTGGTTCAGAAACAATTTTCCATATTCATAATCTTTTGTATAATCTTCAGTGAACGGTGACAAATACTTCGACGACAAATAAAACATTAAAGACGACAATCCAAGCGAAGGCCTATTTGGTAAATCCAGACCTAACGTACCATTCGGAGTTGATAATAGATTAGCAATGAACGTATCAAATGACTCAAGAAACGATGAATCATCGTTGTTAATACAAGGAATATTTTTGACAATTGAACCAAATATATCTTTGCACAAAGTATGTAAAGCAGATATTGATTTGCAAATACGATCATTCTGATTATTACTTTCATTGAAACTCACGAACCTATCCGATAAGGTTAATAAAATACGTAATAAGTAATAAAAAGTTTTCATGTCATTATTCTTCTCATTGGTTTTTACTAATGACTCAATGGCCTGAATTATATTATCAATTTTATTGTATAGTGTTTCATTAAAGCTTTCAGTCAAAGTTTCAAACTTATTCAACATTAGCTCTCTCGAAAAATTGCCCCATTTTCCAGACAGGGTAGTTTTATGGCTTAAAAGCGCTTCAGATAAATGACTTAAACAATTTTTGGGACTCAACCTATTCAAATCAGACTCCTTCTCAAAGTTTATTATATCTTTGTATTCGAAATAAGTATCAAACCAAATATTGATTTGATGACAAATGTCATGGTTTGTGGTAGACAACGAGGGCAAGGACGAAATTTGAGACACGAAGTCTATATATTTGTTTAAATCTGCATCAATAGTTTCAACCAAATCTGATGAAAATAATTCGAGACTTCTAGTTCCAGAAGCAAATTTCTTGTCCGAAACACTCAGTTTAATAGTTGATAATATGTCAGCAGTTGCACCCAGTTCCTTGGATAAGGCTTCGAAATGTAATGTAAATATGTGTTTTGTTTTGGAAATGACATTTTCAAGCAAACCAGTGGCAATCGTTTTATTATTTTTCAGAGAATTTGAAAGAAGCTCTATCAATTTTGAGTTAGATCCATTGGTTACCATCGAAACGTCCAATTTCTTTAGACTTATAATAAAATTGTGAAAAATAACAAACGAATTTGAAAGATTATTTATACCTTTCTCACTGTTATTAGAATTCTGATTGATTAAGTTATCACTGAATATAGCTAATAGCTTAGGGAAGTCATCGACCGTTACTGCCTTAGGATTTGTAACATTTCTTAAAACTAAGTCATGATTGAATTTGACATCCTCATTTTCAATCCAATTATGAAA